CCAGCCTGCGGACGGTCCGGGAATTGCCGCGTGGATTGCCAGCATGCACATTATTTCCCTTTCCCTTCTTCTCCCTCACACGGCAGCAGCGGCGCCTCCTCCCTCCCTCCCTCCTCCTGGCTTCTCCCCGCCCTGCCTAAAGGAGGAAGGGGGCTGGGCTTTGTTGGTGCCAGCAGCAGCAGTGCTTGAGCGGCTGCCATTTTAAGCAGCCCCTCTCTGGAGCCCTTTCGCGCTCCGCTCATCATCCTGCCACTGCCACCAGCCCCTGCCACTTGCAAGACACAGGTAAGCAGCCACCAGGGCTTGTGGTGCTCTTGCATCATTTCCCCCCAAAAATATAGTCTGGCCCCCCACAAGGTCTGAGGGACAGTGGACCCGGCCCCTGCTGAAATTTTTTGCTGGCCCCTGGTCTAGAGACTGTGAATCTGTTAACTCTCTCTCCTTCAGTGTTTCCTCTCCTAGCTGTTCCCCATCCAGTATTTCCCAGATTCTGCCTTCTGAACTATGTCCCTCTGCAAACCATTGTTCCAAATCTATACTGTCCTCCTGCTCCTGGGAAGATTCAGGAGCAGGGGGAGGGGGAGGCTCCCACCATTCCTCCTCAGTGCATCCTTCCTCAGCACGGTCCCTGACATTCGGGTGCACAGCTCCCCCAGCCTTGCCCTAACTCATTCTTTTTTCTGCTAAAGGGGATGGATCAGTAGTACCTCCACTCCCTGCACAGCAGGCAGCTTCATCCATTTTACTTTACCATTTCCTCCTTAGCTGTTATCTGTGATCTCATTTATTTGCTCTGCTTCCAATCCCATCTCCTCACTCACTGCCTTGACCTTTGTTTCAGCTCTCTGTCCATAGATACACTCCGCTTCTGTACATAGAGCCCCACACCTGATTTCTATCTATTTACTGAGTCAATTCACTGGGTCTATTCACTTTTTTGCATTCACTTCATTGTCTTTTTTTGCTATGACACTTGAGAGAGATTACTCTCCTGATTCCTTATATTGTAGCCCATGCCACATCCCTACAACAGGCAGCTCCCTCAGCCTGTCTACTGTAGCCTTCCTCAAACTGCTGCCCTCCAGAGGAAGCCCACCAAGTGGAAGCAAATAAGATGGCTTGCTCGCTGTATTAGTGATTGACTAGTACGGACTGCCTGGTGCTGCCTGGGACTTTGTAGAAACCCAAAGATACTGTGATTTTTAAGTACAGTGGTACCTCAGGGTACATACGCTTCAGGTTACATATGCTTCAGGTTACAAACTGCGCTAACCCAGAAATAGTATCTCAGGTTAAGAACTTTGCTTCAGGATGAGAACAGAAATCGTGCTCCGGTGGTGCGGCGGCAGCAGGAGGCCCCATTAGCTAAAGTGGTGCTTCAGGTTAAGAACAGTTTCAGGTTAAGAACGGATCTCCAGAACGAATTAAGTACTTAACCCGAGGTACCACTGTAGTGCAATTTGTGGTTTTTCAACCCATCACACCAAGAATCAGGCAGTTATGCCAAAGGCACATTTTGATCCACCACCTTCAATCAAAATGGTGCCCGGCATCGAAAGGTCAATGAAGACTGCCACCTGCAACTCATGCCAGGTTTGGCAACAATATCTCAAGAGTTGGCAGGACCTATGCTGAAAAATGTAGGATGTAAAACTGCAGTCATGTACAGCATTCCTACAGTGGACATGTTAGGGGATGTTTAGTACCACTCAGGAGAAGACTTCCTGTTTCCTCTTGAGCTGGGACAGACTTCTACTACATGTGACTTGAAGAAGGTGTGGTCTGCTGTACTAGCATGGAGGAGCACACGGCCTCCATGTTCTGATCAGAGTGTGTTCTCCATTTTGTATGTTGTTGTGTGTTTGAAGAAATGACTGCTTAGTCACAGTCACTGGGGACTAACTTCTTTATGGAATAGTTCTAATTGTTATGTAACCTAAGCCTGCCTTCAGGGATATATCTGTGAACATGAATGAATCTGTGAGTAAACTACTTTTATATTAACGTTAATCAGATTCTTGTGTTTATTCTTTTTAAGAGGGATTAGAAGGGATTTTACCATGAAGGAATCTTTAATAGTAAGACTCAGATGAGTCAGCAACAAGCTGATCAGTGCGTAATTTAAAAAGGGGGATGTTTGGAACTCTGCTGGAATATGGAACTTGCTAGCGCAAGTCAGGAAGGATATCATTAAATAATATATCCTCTCCTGCCTCCCTAATCATCCCCACAAAAAACAGGCAAAGTCATGGCAAGTCATGCCAAAGAAGTCGCACCAAATTTGTGTTTCATTCCAGCATCTTGATTCAAAATGGTGCCCTTCCCTCACCTTGGGAAGTCTTGTGCCAAGTTTTGTGATGTTATTTCAAGCCACTGCTGAACCCATGCCAAGAAAACAGGCAAAGTCATGCCAAGCCACATTTGAGTTCACCATTTGATTCAAAACGGTGGCCAGTGTCCAAACATCAACAGCGACTGCTGCCCCCAGCTCGGAAACCCTTGTGCCAAGTTTGGCAGTGACATCTCCAGAGGTGGCCGAACCCACAGAGAATAGATGGACAGACAGACTGACAAACCATTTTGCCTAATATATAGTAGATTGTTTCATTGCCTGACATATATGTACTGTATTGCAAAGTTGCCATTTTGGAAGTAGCCCTCAGAAGGCAGCTTATATAAAAAGATAATAAAGCATTGATTTTAAATGTCAATCCAAAATTATTATGAAAACAGTAACATTAAAAGGCAGTTTATATGGGTTTATTCTGAAAGACAACCAGAGGATATTTGGGGGTCTGTGAGCAAAGAAGTGTAAGGCTCTTTGTGCACTATGAAAGCTTGAGTAGAAGGGGGAATTTTGCCAGTTGCAGCTTGTCATGCCTGGCTAAATAAGGGCCTACTTCTCAGAAACAGCTGATGTAACGCGGGTGGTGGGTGGGTTAAACCACAGAGTCTAGGGCTTGTCGATCAGGTCGGCTGTTCGAATCCCCACGACGGGGTGAGCTTCCGTTGCTTGGTCCCTGCTCCTGCCAACCTAGCAGTTTGAAAGTGTTAGGTTGTGGGTGAACATATCAGACAACACAGTGATTCTTCCAACAGCTCTTGTTTATTCAAAGGCCAGAACAGAACTGAACTGAAGGGTTCAGCCAGCCTGCTTATATAGAGTTCCACTACAATGCAACAGTAACAACTTTCTGTAACTATCCAATCACTCAACGTCACTTTCAATTCCTTATTTGCATATGTGGATCTGAGTGAAAACTATACAGTATCCCCCTGCTGGCCCAGGGTGAGAACTTCAGTACATAACACGAAGTGCAAATAAATAGGTACCGCTCCGGTAGGAAGGTAAACGCCGTTTCCGTGTGCTGCTCTGGTTTTCCAGAAGCGGCTTAGTCATGCTGGCCACATGACCCGGAAGCTGTATGCTGGCTCCCTCGGCCATTAAAGCCAGATGAGCGCAGCAACTCCAGAGTCGTCCGCGACTGGACCTAACGATCAGGGGTCCCTTTACCTTTACTCTCAGAAACAGCTGATGTAACAGGGTCTGAGTGTTATATCCTTTAAATCAATCAATAAATCATTTTATTTGTATGCTGCCTTTCCAAAATTAAAATCATGCTTAAGGCAGCTTACAACATGTAAAAAATGACATCATTACAAACATAACCACAGGAGTCATCAGCAATAAATAAAACATCCAAAAGTGCCCAACCAGACTGAACAATTGCCACAGAAATCATAGTAAGATCTAAAATAAAGATACAAGAAATTATATCAATAATAGCAACAACCCAACACCCCAAGAAAACCCCCTAAACAATACTCCAACCCATGAGTAGCTGGAGTCAGTTAGGACCCTACTCTTTCAGGCCAGGTGGAAAAAGGCCTGCAAATCAGGGAGCGGGTCTTCCAGGACACTCATCCCAGATGGTTCAGACTACGAGTGGAGGTTCACATCACTGGATGCTTCTGCTTATAGTCAATAAATTGATCAATAAATTCCTGCACATCTTAAAGCTAAATGCCAGTTGAAACATTTCTGACATGTTTGTTTTCTATGAGAATGGTTCTTTTATTAAATAAGGCAGGAGGGGGAGTACTGTGTCACATGAGTCCTGCTTCCTCTACGAAGTGGTACAGTCCAGACACAAAGCTTACTACCACACCTGCTGTTTGTGAGAATGAGGCTAAAATAAGCCTGACAAAATTCAATCACATACGTCCTGCCACGTGTTGGAAAAATTATGCACAACTGAAGCAGCCCCCTTCAGACTAAAGCCAATCAGGTGTTGGCTGAGAAGTGAGCCCAGCAATATGCAGCAGCACTGAGGGGGCAGGATTCACTCCCCACATTCCCAAGTTAGCAATGTTACAGCAAAAACACATTTTGATTGTGTGTTGCGTTCCCTCCTTGGAAAGAAAAAATCCTGGGGGGGGGGAATGGAGGGATTATTGACCTCCGACCTCAACACCAAAGAGACACTGGATGCTGGATGCTGCCAGGACATTAAACAAACACTCAGGGCAGTTGGCCTGAGGATGTTCGTACACTTCTCCAGTTACCTAATGTAATCTTTTTGGGGTGGAGGGATGGGTATTGGCATTGCGGAACAGTGCTTCCTCACTGGATCCGCCAATTAAACTCTATAGATTCTGACTTATACATCACATTCACTGCCCCACCACCACCTTGTAATCACGCCAGTTTTGACCTGGATTAGCTGAAACCGAGTTCTGTTAGAAATGCATGCGAAAGCACCTGTTGTCTCTTTTTTCCAAGGCTATCTGTCTCAAGTGTCAGTCAGATGCACTTTATGCTTCTTATTTTTAGCTGTCATGCAATTTTGAACAAGGTGTGTGTGTGGTGTGGACAATAATTGCAATGTGTTTTCTCCCCCCCCCCCATCAAGCTACATTGCAGCAAGCCCCTTTTAAAGGGTCTCCCGTCACTGGCTTGGATGCACTTTCTGCGAGTTGGCCAGCACGGCCCACCCCCTTCTTGCTGACGTCTGACTCTATCGTACATCAGACTTTCCCCAGTGGTGCTGGAGAACGAGCTTCAATGAAAGCTGCCTGCTCACAGTCTGAAAGGGACTGCAGGCGATGGAACTGCAACTTCCTCCGCTCCTCTTTGCTTCCCCTGGAGCACTGAGCCAGAAATACCCACGGGAGGGATGGAGAGGTTATCTGATCATCTAGCCCTGCAGGAGCAACCCCCTAGTTCCTTGTGAATTACTTTTCTCTGTCCACTGCTGCTGGAAGGGATCTATTGCGCTCTTCCAAAGAGGCTGAGACCGGGAGAAATTCTGCAAGGAGGTGGATGATGCTTGCGCTGGCTGAGTAAAGTTGTGGCTTCCTAGCCTGAGACGATGGTTCTGTCTGTCCCAGTGATTGCTCTGGGAGCTACCTTGGGGACTGCTACTGGCCTCCTTGCCTTATGCGGTCTCACCTGCCTGTGCAAATGTAAGCAACCTGGGAAGGGAGCCTCAGACAAGGAGCAAGATCAGGACCCAGAAAATGCCAAGCCCAGCGTACTACAGACAGTCCAGCAGGTAAAGCACCATATTGATTTTGCCCTACTCTTCTCCCATTGATGCAGCGGCTTCAGAACAGCGCGCTCTGAGCTGGGGTGCCCAGTTTGTGATGTACTGTGATTGATAGCAAGCTTCTGTGTTTGCAGGGTTTCAGGGGGCAGCTCTACTTCTGTGCAGGGAGGAAGACAGAAGGCGGCAGAGGGGGGGAGGGAGGGGTCTCAGGTGGCGTGTGGGATTACCAAAGCAACAGCCCGCTTTTGTTTTATGAAAGAGAGAGAGAAAGCAGGGGTGGCAAAGCTACAGGGACCCCACAATGTCTGGGTGGCTAGACCAGGTTGATTTGCATAAAGAGCCTGGACGCCAAGCGAAAAAAGAACCAAAATAACAGTAATCAGGCTTGAATGTTTCCTAATGCCCACTGATCTTTCCATTTCCATGCATGTATGCACATACGCTTTTGCTGCACAAAAAAAAAGCCTTCTGTGTAACTAACTAGTGTATATACATATTCATCCTGAAATATGTTTGTAAAATTTTAAAATAAGGCATCCCTATCCAGCTGGCAGTCGAAATCTAATTATGACATATGTCATGACAGCTATGGAGAGTCCTGTTACAATGTAGTGAACTTAACTTATAATGCATGTTTAGCTTATTGAGTTATCTCAGTGTTTGTCTAAATGAGGAGCGGAAGCAAAGTGATTACAGTATATCAGTTGTAACCAGAAATGAGGGTCGCCCATCTGACATAATTTTGGTAACTGGCCTTGAAGGAAAGGGTTCAGATTCCATCCCAGTTATGGACTTGTTGAATGGGTAGGTATGGGTAAATGATTCTCTTTTGGCCTCAGTTGCTGATCTGGAAAATGGGTATCCATGGCCTATTGCACAGACTATTATATTATCGATGGATAAGTTGACAACAGTCTTAATAACAATAGCAATATATATTTGGCTAATCTGGCTGAAACCTGAGTTGAGAACTCTTTGTTTCTTATAAATGATGGCTATTGATTCCTGTTCTGAGATGTAAATGTTTTGTTTATTTGTTCTTTGCTTAAAATGATATATTGCCTTTGTTGGCAAAATCGTCCGCACTTTTCAGTCTTTCTGCTGACTTTCCCCCACATCAGATTGATCAAGATTATGGTGATGCAAACTGGCCACAAACCAGTGCAGCTAGAGCGACAGAAATACATTGGTATAAGCTTAGCCTTAGTGAAATATCTGTTCATACTAGGCTTATCCCTTACATTTCAGGAGAGAGGCAGAGCACTCATAGCCTTTGTTCAAGCACACCTATGATTCTCTCCTTGTTATAAGCCCAGGACTACCCAGTGATATCCATAGTGGAGAGGGTATGTCAATAGGGCTTTGTTATGGCTGCACCACACTGTGTCATCTGATCTTACTAATTGCAGTCCTGTATACCGTGTCCCTGATCTTTCCTTTTGCTTATACAAGCCTTCTGTGATTGGATTGCAGGGTGTGGGTGGAGAAGTTAAGAGAAGTACATGGAAAAGTCAGATTTATTTTTTTTTTAAGAAGGGGAGGAATATAACTCAGTGATGGAGCACATGTTAGAAGTCCCTGGTTCAGTCCTTAGTACCCTCGGTTTTTTTAAAAAAAGTTTGCAATGCTTTGGCTGGAAAAGACTTAAGCCAGAACTCTTGGAGCAGGGGTACCATCTAGGGGAAGCCAAATTTTCAAGGAGGGGTCCAGGCCCCCACAAAATCCTGCAGCAGCTGTGTGCGCACGGCACATCAGCACGCCTCCCGACATGCACAAGTGACGTCAGCATGCCCTGCGGTCAGGGGCGGAGGAAGGGGGTGTGGGGGTGTGGACCGCCCCGGGTGTCACCACTGAGAGGGGTGGCAAATGCCAGGTGGCACTCACCGCGGGGCCTGCAGTGTGCCCGAGCCATGCGTCTCTCCTGGGAGAAACATGGTGGCTTGGGCGCGTGCAGTCTCAGCGCTGCCCAAACGGTCCACCCACTGCCCCCCCCCAGCTGTAGGGTGGCTGAGTGGGAGGAGGCAGGTATACTCCGAAGGCCCCGCAGTGTGCCCTGCCCCTATGGGCAGCTCGCCCCAGGCACCCGAGCGGTTTCCTCCACCGCTACCTGCAGCGCGCACACACAGCATGTGTATGTCACATGGCCCAGTCCCCTAGAGAGTTGCTGTCCATCAGAGTAGACAGTACTAGTACAATGGGCCAATGGTCTCAGTCTGTTAACTTCATATATTCCTCCCTGCTTGAATTTCTACCAGATTTTAGCTGTTATATATACAGCGCTTTACAGTCATACCTTGGTTATCAAACGCCTTGGTACTTGGACGTTTTAGCTCCTGAACACCACAAACCCAGAAGTGCCTGTTCCGGTTTGCAAACGTTTTTCAGAAGCTGAATGTCTGACGCTGCTTCCACAGCTTCCGCTTGAGTGCAGGAAGCTCCTGCGGCCAATTGGAAACCGCGCCTTGGTTTTTGAACCATTTTGGGAGTCGAAAGGAATCCCAGAATGGATTAAGTTCGGAAACCAAGGTACGACTGTATAACCCTACTACAGTGGTACCTTGGTTTACAAACCTAATCCGTTCCGGAAGTCCATTCTTAAACCGAAACCGTTCTTAAACTGAAGCGTGCTTTCCCTAACGAGGCCTCCCACTGCCAGTGCCCTTCCACTGTTCAGCTTCCGTTCTTAGACTGAGGTAAAGTTCACAAATTGGGACACTATTTCCGGTTTTCCGGAGTTCATAAAATGAATAGTTCGTAAACAGGGCTGTTTTTAAACCGAGGTACCACTGTGGTACCTCATGGCAAATTTTGATGCAGTTTTCATTTTTAAAAGTCCATGAGCGAATACCACTTTTAAATGGAACCAGACAAATACCAGATGTATGGGTTGCCATACATCCAGATTGCCTAGACATATATGGAACACTGCATTCGGCAGCAGTGTTTGGGTGGAAATTGTCAAAAGTGTCTGGGAGTGCCAGTTTTCCATAAAAATAGCTCAAAATGGTCAAAAAACAATTTTGAGCAAAACTAAAAATGAAACAAACCTTTCTGTCCAGATTTTCACTGTTTGAAATATGGCAACCCTAATCATAAGGACTCCTAATCCTTCTGTTGTGCTTGAAGTTAATGATCTTTTGCATTTCAGAGATGAGCAAATCTTATTGTTGCATCTCATAAACGAGAGCCCACTTCATGAGATGCATGAAGTGGGAGCCACAGTTGCCAGGCACATTCTGCACATAGGTGTAAAGAAAAAGAAGATAAAGTCTGCAGTTAAAAGGCAATGGAATCCAAGAAGTACAGCCAGTGACAATAAAATTGGGTTTTAAATTAGGGAAGCCAGATATTATTAAATTACAGTATCCAAAGCCCTTGCCAGCATGAGCAAAAATGATAGATGTCCAAAGGATTTAAGCTCTAGTTGTGTTGTCACAAACATTTCTTTTCCTCTCTGCACCCATGCATTGAAAATACCTGATTACTGAGGATCATGTATCTGATTAACTATGGTCTAGTCTGCAAAAGCTTATGCCATAACAAAATTAAATAGTCTTTGTTGTTTTTGCTGCAACAGACTAACATCTCTCTGGAAATCTTTTAAGTTTTTACTCAGAAGCCAATGCACCAACTTCAGTAAAGCCTATTCCCAGCCAGATCAAGACAGAGGTCGTCACTTCACACAGTCTGGCACACATGCATCTAGTCCTAAATGATACACTCACAAATCCCATATTGACTCTCACTTTTCCTCCTTTGTCTTGTGAAATGTCTCTCTGTGATGGTAGGTCTACAGTGGCTGTTTCACCTGTTCAAGTTAATCATCATCATCATCTAAAAACATAATAAAAGCATTGATCCTTAAAAATTTCCCTAAACAGGGCTGCTTTCAGACATCTTGTTTATTTCCTTGACATCTGAAGGGAGGGTGTTCCACAGGGAGGGTGCCACTACCGAGAAGGCCCTCTGCCTGGTTCCCTGTAAATTCACTTCTCACAGTGAGGGAACCAACAGAAGACCCTTGGAGGAGGACTTCAGTGTCCGGGCTGAACAATGAGGGTGGAGATGCTCCTTCAGGTATACGGGGCTGAGGCTGTTTAGGGCTTTAAAGGTCAGCACCAACACTTTGAATTGTGCTCAGAAACGTACTAGGAGCCAGTGAAGATCCTTTAGGACTGGTGTTATATGGTCCCAGCGGCCACTCCCAGTCACTAGTCTAGCTGCCGCAGTCAATGCTGAATGCTCCCATCGACAAGCGAGGAACATGAATGTGTGAATTGGCACTGTAATTACATGATTAAAGAGGCAGTCTGTCTTTGAAGGTGAAAGATATCCTTAGATAACTTGCCTGTGTAATTCTGATTCCCCCCCCCCTCCACTTCTGTTTTCAAAAATAACCAGGCTTCTCTTGCCAGGAACAAGCCTTCCTTTTCCAAGCGTCTGCTTCAGAACAAGTGCATATGTGTTTCAAACCTAAGCCTCGGATGGATTTGTTTGTGTGGGAAGTGTATTCTATCTGTATCCATTTTTATCAGTTCCTTAGCACATATACCCTGTTATAGTTTTCCATCAGTGGGAAGAGAACAATGTTTGGAACACAGATGCTGAATCTTGTCAATATCGGGGATTGTGACACGGTCATGGAGGGGAAGCTAGAGTATGTTTTTCACACATAATTGTATTGTTGCCTTTCTACACTGCAAGAAATGTCATGCATTGCAAAAGAAATCCAAAATAATAAATTCAGCTTCTCCAGTTCTGAGAAATCTACCTAACAAAAATATATTTTGCATATGGTTTGGTGTTTTGAGATGGGCTGGCTTACAATGTGAATCTACTATTCTGAGTCAGTTGGTGTTTGTTCAACCCTAGCAACCAATTCTCTCTCTCTCTCTCTCTCTCTCTCTCTCTCTCTCGTTCAGAAAAGAAAGCAGAAAGGTTGTGCTTTCAGGGCTTCTCATATTTCAAACCTGTACATATCATCTTATTTAAGATGTGGTGGTTGCATTTCCATTTGCAAAGGGGATGGAAGTCTCTTAAATCATCAGCTGTCACAATTTGAGAAGCAGAACTTGTAGTATTCACAATAAACAAAAGCAGATGCGGCTGGAGAAGAGGCGGATTGGTCCCCACAGCACTTGTGTATGGCTCCCCTGGGGGCTGTCGGTTGTTATGCAATGATGGATTGCCTGGTGGAGTGTCTGGCTTTTGGCACGAAATGATGGCAGCAACAATAGCTCATGTCTCGTGCTCTCCACTGCAAGGCAAGCCCACTGCTACATGCCTGATATAAAATATACTACAACACAATCACACACCCTGACTTGTGCTGTAGCCAAAAGCATCCGTCTGAACACTGGAAATGTTATTTGTGTGGACACAACCATGCATATACCAGGGATAAAGCTTGTACATCTATCAGCCCCCTACTTCTCGTAGCTTAAAACAAGGAGGAAGGCACTTGAAAAAGAAAAAATCCAAAACCACATTTCCTTAAATGTTAGATGTTTTTAACTATAGCAACCAGACATTGGTCCACTTTGAAGCTAACCAAAAGGGGGAGGGGATTACAGGAATGGAGCAATCTGCCTTAGACTAGGTGGCCCACTTCACAAGTTACGGTTCGTGGGTTTGAGTAATGGGATAATAGAAAAAACAAAGGTGTACAACAGGGATGGAGAACCTGCAGCCTGCCAGATGCTGCTGGACTAAAACACCCATATTCCTGTCCATTGGCTCTGCTGTCATGGGCTGATGGGAGATAGAATCCCACATCTGGAGAGCCACAGATCCCTCACCTCTTCTGTACAGTATACAGAAAATGTTGTTATGCAATCCAGTGTTAGGTGTCCAGGGGAAATGGAGTCATTGTCCTATTATTACTAACTCTGAGGTGCTCTCAAGCTGTGAGCCATGCAAGAGAGGCTACATGGCAACAGTGGTGTAGTGTGGGAGGGGGGCATGGCACATAATTATGTGAGGGCACCACCAGATGCCCCCATGCAGGCGGAGGCTCCTGCAGGGATCCCTGTTCCAGCTGCAAAGTAGCACAGGCCCACAGTGCGCAGGCATGGACAAAGGGAGTCAGGCAAGGGGCAACCCCAGTGCAGCCTGGCCCAGCTCTCCTCCCTATGGGCATCAGGAAGATTTGCCTGCCAAGGGTTGTGACAGCTGACAGGGCTCCCCTCTGCTTGGGCAGACAGGCAGCACAATGTGGCCCTGGGTTATTGAGGGGGGGGGAGACACTACAGCAGCAGCATGGTGGGTTGTTCGCCCTGGGCACCGACAACCCATGCTACACCACTGCATGGCAACAAATGCTGTTATTCTGGCATGACCCAGTGCAGTGCCATAGGGAGCTAGAGTACCCCCATTCGGCATTCAGCTTGGCAATCAAATACCCCACCTCCAGGGATTATTTTCTCCAGGACACAGGGCATAAAAAAGTATGTATGTTCATTTTTCCTAATATACACATTTGTTTAGGCAAGTTGAATAAGCATAATGCATTTTTATATGTTATTTTCGCTAAAGTGTGCATTTTTGTATGCACTTAACATAAACATTTCTGGTTGGAAAACGATTGTGAAATCTGTAAAAGTGTGTATTTCAAAGGATAGCTGTGTTTCTGTTACTGTTTTGCTTCAGGGAGTGTGAATTAGGTAGATTCACATAAAAATGTTAACAAAAGGACCATAACAATCCATAACAGAATCCATAACACAACAATCCATAACAGAAAAAGGACCATTCAATCCATAACAGAGAGAAGGATGAAGAGTGGGAGGAAAGCATCTAAAAAGAATAAGAAAACCAGGAAAAAATAGGATTATGGAAGCAATAGACATGGGTGAATTTATTTAAAAACAAACTGCCTTTGATTTATGAACCATTGTGAATTCTGTCGGTACAGTGTCAGCCTTCATAAGCGTGCCCTCTGTTGAAGAAACACCATGTTAGAAATTCTGAATTAATGCAATCAGTATAATTGATGGGGTTCTCTCATTTCAGTTCAATGTTGAGAAGACGGCAGAAGCTGTACAGCCCAGGACAATACTCAAGTTTCCACATATCTATGATCCGAAGCCAGTAGTGACCACATCGGAAATTGTTAACTGTGCAGATTATACCTTAAAGAGGATGAAAGAGCCAAGCAAGGGGAAGCCTACAGCTCTGGATGAGAAAAGAATGAACATACGTGTCAATGAAGAGTTATTCATTCTCCCTCAAAATGGTGAGCACCTTGCCAAACTACATGTGGTTGCTTCCAATTCAGATTAGTGACCACACTGTTTCCTCTTTCTGATTTCAGTTCCCAGTACAAATGACTAATTGGCAAGTTAGTGAAGTCTTTAAGATTAAGTGGGAGGGTTGGGGGTTTTTTTTAGTGCAAGTTCAATATAAGTTTAGAGCTCCAGTGCAAAAAGTGTACAAATCAATCCTATAATTTAGATTATTGTAACTTGGAGCAAATTCTCTGTATTCACCTCTAGCAATGTTCAGCAGCCCTATTGATTTTTCCCTGTCCACAACCATCCTTTTAAGAGCACATCTTTTTCTTGTGACAGTTCCAATCATTCTGTTTTCCTGGGGATTTTCCAGCAGGCATGTACATGGTTTATAGAGAAATTTATTTTTAACCTCAGAAATCATTTGGCACTTGGTTTCCCCAGCTTCTTCAGGGCATAATGCCACTGCTTCAGCTACTACTGACCCAGTGATGAAATAATAACGAGAAGTGTTTTAGGGAAAGGATAGGATAGGATGAATTGTACATATCTGCCTTGGGAGAACTCTAGGACCAGAGGTTTAAATGTGTAACAGTTGTTGACAGCTCAGTATGTGGTAAGAACTGTAGTGAATCTCTGAATATTCCTCACCCAATTAATGTTAAAAACAAGAAATCAGATTCCAAATAGTTCTCCACTGAGCCCAATGATTTGCATATGTAAAATAAATACATGTATTTAATGTGATTTCCTTTAACAATTTATTCCACTACAAGGATTCGGGTTTTTAATGAATATAAATTTTTTAATGTCTGTGTGCAAGGACTGTGATAGCAGAGAGGAAAAGAGGAGAAACAAACGCTCTCCAGAGCATCATGGTCTGATGCTCAACAGGAACAGTTGCTTTGAGAATAGACTATGGAAGAGGGGAGGATGTTGAAGTCCTGCATCCTGGATCCCAGGAGGGCCTGGTTAAAAGCATTTCAAACAATTTAGAGCATAAGCATTGCTTTAATGGATCAAACCATCAAGCTATGGAGTTGTAGTCCATACAATCCAATATTCCATTTTATGCTAAAACAGGGGGATTAAATCCACCACATCTTGAGGAGCGGAAGAGCAATGGCTCTTTCGCTGAGCACCTCTTTTGCATGGAGAAGGTCCCAGGTCCTGTCTACAGCATCTCCAATTACAGATGGAAACGTCTGCCATCTGAAACTTTGGAGAGCTACTGGGCCAAAGAGTCTGACTCAACATTGGGCAGCTTCTTATCTTCCTACATTCCTGAACAGCTTCTCCTTCGGTTTCAAAGCTTTCAACCAACGTTCATACGGATTTCACCAGTTTTGTCTGTTCCTTCGAGGCTGTACATAGTTTGATCTCACATGAGGCATCTGATGAAGTGGGCTCTAGTCACAAAAGTCCAAAAGAGTCTTCTCCCCAAACCTTGTGCCACCCAGATGTTTTTAACTGCAGCTCTTATCATCCCCAGGCAGCAAACAAAGTGCAAACCCTAAGTTTAGTAGTATAGTGAGCAAGAGAGGATTTTGTCCATTTCTTGAAAGAGCAGTTTGTAAAATGGCATGCAGGTCAGGTGTCCAAAGGGGAAAAGAAGGTTAAAACCTTGATCAAGTTATTGCAAGTCCTTTGAGGGGGGGGGGTTCCATCTAAAATCTGTGGCCAAGGTTCCAAAGTGAGTGGTATTAAATATATCTAGAATGAAGGAGGACCAAGATCTAGACATTTTAACTAATGTCTATTGAAAATGATAAATCTAACCTTGCAAAAATATATTAAAAATCTGTTGAAATGTCACTTTCTAGAAAAGGGCCATCAATTCATGCCAAGTCAGCTTACCTTTGACGGTCAGGCAACATTGCAGACTGGCCCCGTTCCCCCATCACAACCTGGCAGCATGCTGGGGTGGGAGGCCTAGCCAGTGTGTGTGGCCTGTTGCTTTGTGCACTGACCAATCACAGGCAGGCTGGGATACAGGCCCTCCCTAGGGGTGGGGCCAACTGCACCTGTGGATCTGCTCCTGAAGGATAAATCAAGCCTACCTGGGCCTCCTCACCCAGTTTGTCACTGGGTCTCCCACTCTCCCTCCCTCTTATAGTAGGCTTCTTGTGTGTGCTTGGCTTTGCTATTCTTGAAATAGCATGTTTTTACCTGAATCACATATTTTAAATTTCCATACAGCCTAAAAATCTTGAATAGAGCCAAGATAAAGAACTTGCTATCAATAAAAGATAGTTCCAATGGTATGGCTAGAAACACAAAACAACGGTGGAATGCCAAGTCAATTTGATAGGAGGTAATCAAAGAGGAAAAGCAAATGTAGCCAAATTTGACTGCAACAAGAGGCATCCTCTTATTAAAAGACTCATGTCTGTTCCAGGTGGAGTGAAAGATGTATGTGTCACTGAGTGTCTGAACCCCGAGAAAGCTGGTGGCTGCAACCAAGTCCCAGAACTTCGCTATTCTCTTGGCTACAACCAACAGAAAGATGCACTGTGTGTTGCTTTTCTTGAAGGTAAGGAGCCTATGTCTTTGCATTTTATCAGTTGTGGCAACTTTTCATTTGAAAGCAAAATCATACAACAAGCTCTCCTCACAGATATGAATAGTAAGCAGATGCATAACAAATTTAGGATCTCACATTTTGTTACCATCTCATTTCATATATAAAACCCCCACAAGGCATGTAACTGAAGATCTTGCTTTACAGATGGCAAACAGAAGCCAAGACGTTATGAGCCTTGTGCAAGGAAACTGCGGTTTGGTGGACCAGTAATAAGTGTATGTGCCCCTGCGCGCTCTCCTTGCCTCTCCCTTACACATGCTGCTTGAGCAAAAAAATTCTTAAATCACAGTTTTCTCTCTGATATTTGAACTGCGATTAAGGGCTCCCTACAAACTAGGATCTTCAAGCCCTTCATCCACAATTTCCTGGTTCAGGGGTCCTGGGAAACTGTGGAGGGAGTGCACAGGCAGGCACATAGGTCATTTGCAGCCCACTAAACCATGGTTCATTCTAGCAGGATTATAACATCTGAATGGGCCAATGAGCTGAAAGCAAACCTGGGATTTAAATTCAGATTTCAAATCGAACAGTTCACTGGACTACACTCTCTTACTCCTTTTTTCACTGCCATTGAAGTTTCCAAACCATCATAAGACCTCAGAGATGCAAATACCACCAATTACTGGCAATAAGGGTGGGCGGGGGGAGAGGCCCTTTATCCTTGCACAAGGACGGGTTTGAATCGTTTTTATTAAATCAAAATGCTGAAACAGAAAAATGGCAATTTTTCTCCTGAAAGTACTTTGGTATTCATTTTAAGTACAGTTTATCTTTCTTTCCCTGGTTCTGCAGCTACATATGGAACTGCAGCAGGAGACCAGAACAATGGCTGTGATTGCTATATCCTAGGCACTTTGGTGACCAAGTCCAGCACCTCAGAAGCTCAAACTGTGTTGAAGAAGAAGAAGCCCCAGATTGTCTGGGAGGAAGCTCTACTGTTTCCAGTAAAGGAGGAGGAGCTACCTGAGGCAATGCTGACTCTCACCTTGAGAAACTGTGATAAATTCTCTAGGCACAGCATTGTTGGGGAAATTAAACCGAGTCTGGCAAATGTGGGGGAGCCATATGGAACAGTACAGTGTGAGAAGATGAAAACATTTGACAAGGTATCCTATGAATTCCATAAGCTATTATTCAAACAAATTGTATTCTCTGGGAGGGAGTGAATATGCTGTGTGCCGATGACGCTGAACCCAAATGTGGACACTGTTCAAGGACTTTAGAGTCCTGAATGCATTTTACTACATAGTAATAATTGCAAGGTTGTTCTTGAATCCTTCGGCCACAGGATTCAGTCTGGAGTTGATGTCATGCTTTGGAAAAGTAACTGCCTTATTCTGAAGTGATTCAGGACCTGCCCAATTAGACTTTGGGTCTGAGTCTGTGTTAGGAAAAACAAGATTTAATTTGCCCCAACCACTATAAAAGCTTCCCTTTTGACAGAAGTGGATAAATTTTGTAGGCACTATGGTTTCTCCAAAGAGGATAAATGTTGCAAATGATAGGCAAATACATCTAGGGGTTTTGTGTGTGTGTGTGTTGCTGGACACTTTTAATTTTGATTTGTTTGTTCCTTAAATGGATACATTTACTGCGTCCTAATTTTTTTTGACATAACTTTGGATAAATTTGCAGACATGGGAGGCCCTTCTGAGTATATGGATCCTGCAAAAGTTCAGAAGGTTATCTGCAATGGTTTTCCTGCAAGGACAGCATGTAGAGTTTTAGGGTGGGTGAAGAAGGAACCACTTTATCATCCCTAGAGTTTTGTGGTTTGCAAATACAGTGGAACCTCAGGTTACGTACCGTCCTCCTTACAAATGCTTCGGATAACGAGCTCCGCTAACCCGGAATTAGATGCCCCTAGTTGCGAACTTTGCCCTGGGATGCGAGTGGAAGTTGCTCATCGGCGGTGTGGCAGCAGCGGGAGGCCCCATTAGCGAAGGTGCGCCTCAGGTTAAGAATGGTTTCGGCTTAAGACTAGACCTCTAGAACGAATTAAGTTCATAACTGGAGGTACCACTGTAGCAGAGAGAGGTTTCCTGAGTAAGATGCCTGTCAAATTTCAGACAAAGAGATCCAGAGTGTGTTTTTCTTTTGTTTTTGCTAAATACTAAAAGGGATTTACTCTGTGGTTCATTTGTGGGCACAGAGTCAGTGCCTCTAGGTTATACTGCCTACAGAGCAGCAAACAAAGTGTTTTGTTTTACAGAGTAGGCTGGCTTGGGCACGGGAAACTTCCATGTTGTTGTTTAGTTGTTTAGTCATGTCCAACTCTTCATGACCCCATGGACCAGAGCACGCCAGGCACTTCTGTCTTCCACTGCCTCCTGCAGTTTAGACAAACTCATGCTGGTAGCTTCGAGAACACTGGGTCAATTTTCACCCAATCCAAAGCCAATTTTCACCCACTCCACATGCCTAAGCTGCTTCTGCTTGGGGGGCGGGGAGGAGGGAGTAAGCTTGAGAGAGGAAACTTCTCTCCCTCACTCTGCCCTTCCTGCCTGACTTCTCTGTCTTTTCCCTGAGCAAGAGAGATTAAGGCTATCTGTGCAGGTGCATGACAGGGGTGGTGGTTGCGCCAACTCAAAGTTATCCCAGACTAAGCTGGGCCAGTTGCTCTCTCAACTAGCTGTGCAAGCCTGAAGAACCTGCAGTTTTACCATCACAGCTCCTGCGTGCAACAGTGAGGGTGCATTTTAGCTTGGTCGGACGAGAGAACTCAAATGGACGGTGCTGCTCCACCTCTGCAATTGCCCCAAACTTTGCCTCTGGGGTTTGCTGCAAGCATCACATGCCAGACACAATAATGGCTTCTAAACAACAGGGGATGATTGTGTGATGATGATGATAAATGACAAAATGTGAGTTCTTGTGCATGTGAGAACACCGTGACCCAGTAACAAGCAGTGTGTGAAATGGAAATAAACAGAAACACATGCACTAAGGAGAATTTGGTAATAACAACAATAATGTGACAGGCTGGTTTGGCTTACACACATTTACTAAGAAATTAATTATAAAGGATAGACAATGGCCGAATAGAATCACATGAGACAGTGAATGAACTTAAGCAACTCTCAGGAACTGGTATTCATTGATATACTGCCTCTGATACTGGAGGTAATATATAGCCACCATGACTTGTAGGCATTGATAGCCTTATATTTCATGAGTCTAATATGGTGTAGAGCTGCCCTGGTTGGTGGCCATCACCACATCCTGTGGGAGCAAATTCCATAGTTTGACTATGTGCTGTGTGGAAAAAAAATGCTTCCTTTTGTCTGTCCTGGTTCTGCCACCACTCCATTTCATTGGGTTCTAGTGGTCTGAGGAGGAGGAGGAGGATGCATAACTTTAATAGTAGTAGTACTAATAATAATAGCAGTAGTAGTAATATAATTTATATGCCACCCAACAAATTAAAAACAGCACAGTAAAATATCAAACATTAAAAACCTCCCAATGCAGGACTGCCTTCAAATGTCTTCCAAAAGTCAGATAGTTGTTTATTTCCTTGACATTTGATGGGAGGGAGTTCCATAGGGCAGGTGCAACTACCGAGAAGGCCTTCTACCTGGTTCCCAGTAACCTCACTTCTCTCAGTGAGGGAACCGCCAGAAGGCCCTCAGTGCTGGACCTCAGTGTCTGGGGATGGAGATGCTCCTTCAGGTATACAGGGCCAAGGCCATTTAGGCCTTTAAAGGTCAGCACCAACATTTTGAATTCTGCTGGGAGCTAATGTAGATATGTTAGGACCGGTATTATATGGTCCTGGTGGCCACATTATAAACTTTTATCCTGTTGTTCATCTCTTATTTGCCTCCCCTAGCCTCCAAATTAAAACTCTTCCAACATTGTAACCTTTCATTTTAGGGGTGTTACTCGAAGTGGGATATAAAGGCAATAATAAAACTTAGAATAAAATACATCCATAAATAGTTCCCCTCCTCCTTTTATACCCCTGTGAACTAGGTCAGATTGAGAGAAAGTGTCTGGTCCAACCTGCCAACCTCCCTACTTGGCTAGCCGCTTCTGCCTCATGGACTCCCTGGGTACCAGGGAGCTTTTTCCAGCCTGGAAACCTGTGGTTGTCAAGATGAGGTGCTGCCCCTTGCCTAGGCCAATTACTCCTCCTCCGAGGCAAGAGCTAGCAGGTGGTTAATTGCACCCCTGAAACAGATGGTCTCTGTCAACTTAGCAGATGGCCTCCAGGATCGGATAATAATACGAAGAATGCCAAGAAACTGCCCGTGCGTAGTTAGCGCAGGCGATCGTATCCAATTATATCTCAAGGCTGACAGCAATATTGTTTCTCCTGCACTCGGCCTTCCTCACAGCCACCCACACAACTGCGACAAGGCAGAGATTCTGCTTCAAACCTGTAAGGAGCAGGTTAACTGTCTTCGAGTTGTGTGCCCCAGTTTCCGATGCGGAAGATATGCAGAGAAAGCCAGGTTTGCGTCATCGGGGACTTCAGAGCGGCAGCCATTACACAGCGAGCTTTAAACATGAGTCCTGAATCATTAATTGAGAGCTAGGAGCAAGCAAGATGATCAGAGAGAGGCAGGCACTATTTTTGTCAGCGCACTTCCGGGAACGAGCTCGTTAGGATTTGTTTTAAAGCTTCGCATGCCCTCGCAACAGCATGGCTGAAAAATAATAATGCTGCCTCGCTCCTCTTTGCTATTCTCCAGTGAAAGCCCAGAGGTGAGCTCCTAACTAGCTCAGAAAGGCCACACTGATTCCTGCTAGGACTGGCTCAGTATCAGAACAACCCTTGCCAGATCATAAAAACCACAGGCATGACTAAGTTGTAAGGCTCCTCTTGCATTCCTTCCTGCTGGCTTACATAAAATAAAATGATTGTATTGTGCCATCACCTCATCTATCGCTCATCGTAAGGATGGCTCGCTGGGTTTATATAAGGTTCTTGGCTCATTAGTTTCACTGAAACAACACCGAGGCGACTCCACCATGAGACAAGCAGCTGCCATGGCAGACAGATTCGGAGTGTCTTCAAGACAGCTGAGTGGGAAGCAGATCCAAAGTGTAGCACAACATCCATCAGAGAGAAATTCTGCCCCACTTGAATGAATGGGAACTGCAAGAGAGCACCTTCCTTCAGTAAGATGCATGCAGGAGGGCTGTACTGAGGGGGGCCTGTTCCACCTTTATTAGTGGGAAGAAAAGGTGCTGGATTTTTCACCTTGAACCCCAAAAGATTTTTATTCGGTTCTTAAAACCTGATGGGCTAAGTTCATCCTATTTCAGTATTTATGTAAGGTAGCAGAGGGATGGAATTCAGTGAGGGCCTGAGCCGTATGACCTACTTAGTTGCTATCATTTTGATGTCTCAGTATCCAACCCTTTGCTTGTTTTAAGCTAACAGGAAATATGATCCAGAAAATTAACTTTCAGTTTGTTTATTTTGATCAAAATGGTATTTTATACCGTTCAGTAGAGATGCTAATGGCTAGTCATGCGATTTGATTAGCAGAGAGAGATATACGCAACCCAGCTGATCTTCACAGTAACCTTCAAAGGACATTGTATGGGGGGGGGAGGGAAAGATGGCTGCTCCTATAGGTGCATGGGGCACCCATCTTTTTCTCCATATAATTCTCCAAGAAGAATTCTCCAAGAAGTATTATGCCTGTTATGGTATGGAGTTGCTTCCTGGAATCATTGTAAAACTGTTTGTTTGTTTGTTTGTTTGTTTGTTTAGCTGTTTGACCACAGAGGTGTTCTAAGCATGTTAAAAGTAGAAAGAGGAAGCCTTGGGATTGCCTTCTATATACTTTGGTTTGTTTTTTAAAAATAGGTGAATTTTGTATGATTTTTCCTATAACCTTCGTCAACAAATAGGATGAAATGAATCCAGTTCTCTTAAAAAAAATAAAAAAAATAAACTGGCACTGAATATAAAATAAGTTCATCCATCCCTATGATCAATCATTTAAGAGAAGCCTCTTCTATCTCCTGTTACAAAAGTAGCCTAGAAAGCAATGCTCTAAACAGTGGCTCAGATGAGAGGATTGAGATGAATGTGTCAATGGCATTCAGATCTCCAGCATCAATGCTGATCCTTTCATTTTGAGTTTCCCCGGAGAGGCTAGGCTTTCTAAACTAAGTGTGAGGCATGAGTTATTCCAGGCAGATAAAGTTGGCAGCTAGCTTTTCATAGAAAATGTATCTACTCCCAGAAGACAGAACATGACTGTCCCCATCTGTACCATCTAGCCAAGTGAATGAAAAATTGGTACCTCGGGTTAAGAACTTAATTCATTCCAGAGGTCCATTCATAAGCTGAAACTGTTCTTAATCTGAGGTACCACTTTAGCTGATGGAGCCTCCCACTGCTGCTGCCGCCCCGCTGCCGTGTGATTTCTGTTCTCATCCTGAAGCAAAGTTCTTAACCTGAGGTACTATTTCTGGGATGGTGGAGTCTGTAACCTGAAGCCTCTGTAACCCGAGGTACCACTGTAGTACAGTGGTGCCTCGCAAGATGAAATTAATTCGTTCCGCGAGTTTTTTTGTCTAGTGAATTTTTCGTCTTGCGAAGCACGGTTTCCCATAGGAATGCATTGAAAATCAATTAATGTGTTCCTATGGTCAAAAAAAGTCCAAACAAAGCCAAATTTGGTACAACAAGAGTTTATTAAGTCTCTTTAAAGTCACACATACTGTAAAGAGCATTTCAAAATTCAAACCCAGAATTTTTTTAAAAAAACAGCAGAGTGGCCCAATGGTCACAGAAAATCATAAAAATGCAGGAAAAAACCACACAAGCTTCCAGATTCTTGCAAACTCCTCCCCAACTGTTCCCCCAGCCACCCATCACACAGAAATTCAAACCCAGAATTTTTTTCGTCTTGCGAAGCAAGCCCATAGGGAAATTCGTCTTGCGAAAACCCTTTTGTCTAGCGAGTTTTTCGTCTTGTGAGGCATTTGTCTTGCGGGGCACCACTGTATTAATAAAATAATACAGAATTTATATCCAGAAAATAAGTTAACAACTATAATGAAAGAGGGAGAGATACCAGAGATAACAACAAACTCAAATCCATCTTGGTTTCAGATTAAACCTCCAAATCATCACAACCATTTATAGAGATTTTATCTAAAGACCTTTTTCCTGAGTTTTTTTTTTTTGGGGGGGGGAACCAGTGCATAGGGGGCAACACTGTGTGTTATGAAGCTATTCTTGTCACTCAAAAGACACGAAACCATTGGTGAGGGATTCCCATTTTTAAAAAAATAACTTAAGGACAGAACTAGATATTATGAAAGGCACAAAACATCAGCTTTGTGTCTTTCATAATATTGAGTTCTGTCCTTAAGATTTTTTTTAATGGGAATCCCTCTTACTCTTAAGAGGCGAGATTACGTGGAGGGGTTCTGTTCCCTTGTCCTCTGAGTTAACAGGTCTTTTCAAATAATCCTCCCTCTGTTGAACATTAGCTATCAGAGATTATTCTTTTTCAGTTAGGAACACAACTGCCGTAGAACCAGTTCTGATGAGGACAGTAGATGAATTTATTAAACATACAAAATAATTTCTTCGAAGAAATTAAACAAGTGGGATGTGCAATAAAATGTTGCTGTATGTTCTCCTGTTCATGATTCTAGCCACCCCCTTTCCCAGGATACTGCATTCCACCCCACCCCCCCACATTTCCCCAGTTTTCTATTTAGCCCCAATATATACTTTTCATGTTATGACCCCTGAATATGCCCAGACTTCATTGCACTGTTTTCAGTTCCCTCCCCCATAGTTTTTTTTAAATAAATAAATAAATAAAGGGTTTCCCATTTTTTGTACTCCTGCAAACTTTGCATTTCTCCCAAAGACTCTAATACCTTCTTCTTGCACATGAATGGTGTCATGTTGACTTCATAAATATTGACACATTGAAAATGAGTTGCTTTTAGTATATAGGATTATTGAAGAAAATGTCATCCTCTTATTCCTTTGTCTTTTCTAGTCATTGTTGCATCTTTTAAAAGCACACATGTTCATTTTTCCTGCTTCTATGCCCCTTCTTTTTCTATCAGCTGATTCCCTATTGGAGTACCATATGGCTTTCACTTAAAAGGGTTGGGAGAGAGATAAATTGCCACTGCAATTGTTCTGTGTTTGGGGATATATGTAGAGAGTCGGACAAATGAGATTGAGAGAAAGAGATGTCAGAAGTCTACAAGGTCAATAACTAAGGGACAAAGGAGAGTTTTAAAACACACACCCAGAAACACTATGTGATCCTTAAGAAGGTCTGCCTTTGCTCAGAGAAGCTAGCGAAATTGCTCTCTCACCAATTGCCAAGGAGGAAGTGATGAGCACAGCTGACAGTTCATTTAAAAAGATGCTGCAGCTAAGCTTATAGTTCATAAAGGCTATAATCCTAAGGGAGGTGGGAAAGGACATAAAGGTGGTTTAACCACCTTCTGCGGGCCTTGCAGGAGCAGGAAGACAGCGGAACAATCTTCCATTCCTTCATGTGTTCCATGGCCTGTTTGTTTTAAATTATATTTTTTTAAAAACATATTCCCTCCTATTGGAAACAATGAGAGGGCTCGCAGAAAGATTTAGACAAACTTAAAAAGCATCTTTAAATTTCCCCCAAGTTTGGGGGTATGACAGGGAGCCAGGAGGGCTTAGAATCCTTCATGTCCCAACCAGGTCTCAGCATGCCTCTGGCACACGCTCTGTTGGGCCCTTTGGACATCAAAACTCCAACATCCAGGGCTTCAGAGGAGCTAGTAGCAAAGGCAGCTTTTCCTCTCTAATGTTGGAGCTCTATTCCAGCATCAGGGGATAGATCCTATTCATCTTGTGGGGACTGACACATTCTCCCGGGGACTAGAGGATTGCAGCCTAGGTATGCATTTCAGTGTAGTGTCAAGCCAACTCGCCAGATAATATCCAGTGTCTCTTATACTAACATATGCAAATGATTCAATTTAGATTGAATTTCCTAATAAAAGGTGCATGTAAGAAGGGAGGTTCCTGCAAGAATTTTGTTATTTAAGCCGACTCCATTACTAATTTGCTAAACTCATTTATTTTTAATTTATGAAAGTTACCTTGATTTCCTTATTCACTATGAAAAATTACATTGGTTTCTGTCTCTCTCTTTCCTTTCTGCTGTATCCTTTTGTATCCATTAATTACTCGCATCCTTTGTATAATAACAAATGAAATTTGAACCAAGTTGGCCCCATTCAGTTCAGATGTTTCCCATCCCCCCATTCATAGTGAAATGTGTCACATCCCTAGAAGCTACTAACTGCCTGATCCTATGAATCAATCTTAAGCTTCTGCAACACAAACACACCCCTATGTTTGGTTTACTTGCCAAGAAGCCTCTTCCTCCCCTCTCTTGTTGTCAGTGCTCATCAACACATTAAAGCTCCTGTGCAAATGCTGCCTTTAATTGCTGTCATCGCAGCAAGGATATGAGTTATACTTTAGTGCTGTGTGCTAGAACTGTCACTGTAGCAGCTCACATAACACAATCAACAGCTAGCAGCAGAGCAGAGGGCAATGTTTCACAGAAAGATAACGGGAGAGTTTTAAATCTTCTTGATGCCTCCTAGAGCAGTATATTTATTTCACCTCCTTTTGCAGAAGTGTGGACGAGACCCTGATCTACAATGTAATGGGCATTCAAGCCCTAAAGAAGTAGCAAAATGAAATTACTGATGTGAACCAGGATGTCCATCCAGGGCCACTGAATAGTTGGCCACCGAATTCGGCAAGCTGATATCAAACTGTATTGCTTTAAAACTCTTTAGCAGGATTTAAAAATTTGATTTTTTTTTTAAAAAAAAAATATGTTGCTCAAAATCCCATTTCAAAATTCAGTTGGCTTGTTCTCATCTCCCAGATCTAAAATTATTAATTCTGAACTTTGCTAAAGTGTGGATTTCTGAATTATTTTGTTTTCGCTTTGCAACCATCCCCCATGGACTGCATCATGCTAATATAAAAAACAAACAACACAGTGTGATGTGAGACAGGTGAATTAAGCTTCTGCCTCAAAACAGGAGAGTGAGGAACTCATGGTGGCCTACTGAACCACACATTGTTCTGAGTCTTCTTTGCTGCTGCCACCCTTCATTGTGCAGTTGCTCAGTCCTTTGCATGGACTCATGTAGAAGGTGCAGAGTACATTCTTTCCCCATTTATCTCACTGAACTGCAGGAGCCAGATGCAGGCTATGGAGAAGTTCTCCTTTCCATCAGCTATCTGCCTGCTGCAAACCGTCTGCTTGTGGTGCTCATAAAAGCCAAGAATCTCCACTCCAAACAGCTGAAAGAGCTTCTCGGGAAGGGTGAGTTTAAAAGAGGAACATGTTGATGGGCTGCAACCACAGACTTTTTGCCTTTTTATTAAGCCAGGTAGAGAAAATATATTTAATTAGCTGGCACAATGAAGTGTGCAGGCTTTGAGTGAGTCACAATTTCCCTTTCTGCATATTTTTTTAATTTAAGCTTTTTTGATACTACAAGATAAAAACAAGGGGGGGGGGGAGAGAGAAAAGAAAGAAAGACACCAAGTATTCCCTGTAGAGGAAAGTTTTTAATGTTAGATGCTTTATTATGTTTTTATATTTTGCTGGAAGTCACCCAGAGTGGCTGGGGCAACCAAGTCAGATGAGTGGCATATTGTTGTTGTTGTTGCTGTTGCTGCTGCTGTTGTCTCATTAGATGGGCCTTAGGCAAGCTAGTGCCTCTGAGTTTCACCTCCCCACTGCCCACTGTAATTTGAAGATAACAATATTGACCTACCTCACAGTGTCGCTGTAACATTTGCTAAGATATGGAGTACTTGGAACACTCTAAAGTCCTGACTAAATGCTCTGTATTGTTCATTCTAATGCCTTTCATTAAGCTTTCCAGCCAGTAATGCCTAATGTCTGCTTGCTTGTCTGTTCAGCTTTGGGCAACTTGGCCTTTTATTAGCATAAGTGAATCAATTGTGCCCAGTAGTGCAACCTTGTAGCACTGAAAGAAGGGATAACAAAGTTGACAAGCAGAAATCTGATGCATGCTATGACACATGGCAGGCAGTGTTACAATAAGCTTCATGAATGAATTTGCATATAGCAGAGATGAGGGAGCCTTTGGTCCTCCAAGTGTTGCTGGTCTCCAACTTCTATCATCACTGGCTAAGGCTGATAGGGGCTGGACTCCAAAAATACCTGGAGGGCCACAGGGCCTGCTGTATGGATTGTATATTATGTTATGGTAAATATCAGAAACTTAGAGCCAAACTAGTTGCGATGGGACTGTCATTCACATTTCCACCCTGCTCCTATACAGTGTGTTCTCTCTCTCTCTCTTTCTCTCTCTCTCTCTCTCTCTCTCTCACACACACACACACACCTTAACACAAAAAGGAACACACAAAAGTCACTCACTGAAACTTCTCCTACCCATTAACTTTCCACAGTTGGTTGTTTCAGTAGGGTTTATCTGCTCCTGGCTCTCCTGCTAGAAATCAAGGGAATGGGATGGAGATGGACATCAGCAGTGCATTTCCTTGGTCTCCTTTTACTGTTAAAGCAAGACCCCCATTCCCTGCCTTATACAAGGATTGGGTTGACACATGAAAAGAACCAGCACCCACCACAGCCACATCTAGTTTGGCCCTCAGTGACTGCTGCAGTTTACCAATAAGATTTTTGAAGGCCAGGAGGAAATGGTATCAAATGACCGCTTTTTATTATTTTTATCTATATCCCTGTCCCTGCAGATATATCTGTTAAGGTGACCCTGAAGCACCAGTCCCTGAAACTGAAAAAGAAGCAGACGAAGCGTGCAAAGCACAAGATCAACCCCGTCTGGAACGAAATGATCATGTTTGAGGTGCCCCACGACCTGCTGTGTGCCTCCAGTGTGGAGCTGGAGATGCTAAGCCAGGATGGAGAGGATGGGCAGAACCGCTTACTGGGGAAGTGCAGCCTTGGCCTGCATGCCACTGGCACAGAAAGGAACCACTGGGAAGAGATGCTGAGGAACCCCAGAAGGCAGATTGCTATGTGGCACCAGCTACACATGTAGCTATGGAGGTAGACAGGCCAACCAGCCCAAGTCCAGTAGACCTGGTCTCAGGGCTGGGTGGGGTGGGGCGGGGAATGAGATCTATTTCAACATCCAGAAAACCATGAAATGGACACATTCACAAGCACAAGTCTTGTTTTATCGGTGTTGTCTTTCGTTGTTTCTGCTGTAAGAATATTCTGGAAATGGGCTGAGAAAAGTAGCCAGCGACTCATTTCTCTTTGCAGGACCATCTTCTTGCTTTCTACATATGGGTCTTCTGCACCCGTGCAACCGAGTAGCAAGTAACATTTACTTGCGGAAAGTGAGATGAAAAGTGATCTGATTCAAGACATTTAGAGCGCTAATGGATGGTCTATTTATGGAGCATCCATCATTCATTGATCTGTTTACAGGAGGAGTATTTATTTACTGATTTATTTCATAAAATTTATATACCACTTGACTGTAAAAGAAAAAACAACAAAGTGGTTTACAAAAAGTGTAGTTGACATTGGCTACTTAATGAGCATTCCTTCTGATTTGATTGGAGGAGGTTAGATAACATTGCATCAAAGCAAGGGTTATGCCACACTTCCGAGTGCATTTTCCTGTCACTTTCGTTACTGCAAAAAATCTTATCTTTTGGGGAAGCGGGTTTGTTGTGCGAGAGTTCCCAGTCAACTATAATTATGAAACATGAATTTGCTGGTGTGAGATTGGATCCAAATTGAAAATAGAATGTTCTGGAAGTGCCCTTAAAAACATAAGAAGAGCCTGCTAGATCAGTCCAATGGTCCATCTAGCCCAGCATTCTGTTGTCACAGTGGCCAACAGTGACTGACATTTGTTTTGCCCTGACCTATGGAAATCCCACTAGCAGGACCAGAGCACAACAGCACTCTCCCCTCCTGTGGTTTCCAGCAACAGGTGTTCAGAAGCATTTTGCTTCCGACCATGGGGGCAGAGAGTAGCAACTGGTAGCCTTTACCTCTGTGAATTTGTCTAATCCTCTTTTACAGCCATCCAATTTGGTGATCAGGGACGTGGGTGGCGCTGTGGGTTGAACCAGAGAGCCTAGGACTTGCTGATCAGAAGGTTGGCGGTTCGAATCCCCGCAACGGGGTGAGCTCCCATTGCTTGGCCCCTGCTCCTGCCAACCTAGCAGTTCGAAAGCACGTCAAAGTGCAAGTAGATAAATAGGTACCGCTCCGGCGGGAAGGTAAACGGTGTTTCCGTGCGCTGCTCTGGTTCACCAGAAGCAGCTTAGTCATGCTGGCCACATGACCCGGAAGCTGTATGCCGGCTCCCTTGGTCAGTAAAGCGAGATGAGTGCCGCAACCCCAGAGTCGGCCACGACTGGACCTAATGGTCAGGGGTCTCTTTATCTTTACCTAATTTGGTGACCATCACAGCCTCTTGTGGGAGCAAATTCCACAGTTTAACTATGTGCTGTGGGAAGAAGTACTTCTGCCTGTCCTGAATCTTCCAAAATTCAGCTTTGTTCAATGCCCACAAGTTCTAGTGCTATGAGGGAGCAAAACTTTTATCTCAGTGGAATGGATAATTTCATACATATCAATCACGTCACCTCTCACTCGCCTTTCTTGTAAACTTAAAATACACTAAAATACCTTTCCTCATAGAGGAGTCACTCTGTCCCTTAGATGATTTTGGTTTCCATTTTCTGATTTTTTTCCAACTCTACAATATCCTGTCTGTAGTGAGGCAACCAGAACGGCACACAGTATTCCAAGTGTATTTTCACCATAGATTTTTTTAATAGCATTTTATTTTCAATTCCTTTCCTAATGATCCCTAGCACAAAATTTGCCCTTTTCATAGTTGGGTCAATGTCTTCATTGAGCCATCCACCACCACCTGAAGGTCTCGTTTCTGATCACACTCTGCCAGTGTATATGTGACTGACATTTGTTTTGCCCTGACATGCATCACTTTACATTTGTTTGCATTGAATGGCATTTGGTATTTTATTGCCCATTCACTTAGTTTGAAGATGTCATGTCAGATCACTTCAAAATGCTAAAGAAAAAACACACGACCCTGAACAATTTAGGATCATCAGCAAATCCGGCCACCCCACTGCTCACCCCCATCTCTAGATCATTGATGAACTAGTTAAAAAGCACAGGTCCGTCTACTGATCCTTGGGAAAGTCCACTTTCTACATCCCTCCATTGGGAGAATTGTCCCTTTATTCCTACTCTCTGCTTCCTGTTACACAACCAGTTCCTGGTGCACAAGAGAACCTCTCCTCTTATTCCATGACTTCTAACCTTACTCAGTAGTCTTTGGTCAAAACCTTTTGAAAAGTCCAAGTATACTATGTCAGCTGGATCAGTTCTATATACGCTTCTGGACACTCCCAAACAACTGTAATGGATTAGTGAGACAGGACTTATCCTTGCAGAAGCCATGCTGGTTCTCTTTAAGCAAGGCTTGTTCTTCTATATGCTTGCTTATTTTATCTTTAACTATACTTTCCACCAGTTTTCCTGGGATAGACTTTAAGCTAACCATTTCCTGGCTCCCCACCACCAACAGATCCCTTTTAAAAATGGTATTACATTGGCTGTTTTCCAGTCCTCATAGTGATACCCTCCTTCTCCAAGACCCACCCTCTCCATAACAGCAAGGCAGCTATTATCATGAGAATGGGATGTAGCTATAATGTCCCTGCAGACCTCATCCACCAACCTTGCTACCTCTCTCAGCTTTTCCAGTTCAGCTACCTTGGCCTCAATGCTAGGAACTCATTGCACTGAGAACATACCCATAACTTCTGTCCAGCCGGCAGATATTAATCATACATGTGGCAGACAGTGTGAAACCCACAGCATGTCTTGTTTGAACCTTATCTATAGTAGGGCATTGGGATATTCCATGGAAAAGTTGAGTTTTGAGGAAAGATTTAAAGTAAGTAAGTAAGTGAGTTGTACCCACAGAGGTGCTGTAGGATGCAATTCCAGGCATAAGGGGAAACAAGAAATAATGAAAAGGCAGAATCATGTCAGGAAGCAGAAGACCTTTGGACAACTGAGGATAATGGACCCAGATGTGCAAAGATGTGCAAAGGCCACAGGTGTGTTCTTATATGTTGCAACATATAAGAAATAATTAGGGCTGGCCCATTATATTTTGGTACCCGAGACATGCTCCCTCCCCTCCATATACAGAAGCCAGCCAGAGCACCAGTTTAATCTTACTTCCAAACTGGTGATGGGACAGAGACCTTCAGCATACCTGGGGACAGAAGGTTAGCTAGCTTTAGGGAGTATGGGACAAGTTACGTTACATTGACAACTCCGTTTTCCAGCAGGTGAAGCTGCTACAGGGGAATGAGGAGACTCAAAAAAATGTCTAGAGAGGGCTGTCATTGCTTCCCTTCACCCTCCGAAGATAGCTGCCTCACACTGCCTAATGGAAGGGCTGGCTCTGAGGTGCAAAGTTATGGGAAAGTTTTGGAGGTAAGGAAGAGAAGCTTGTGTAGGATCCAAGGTGGTCAGGTAACCACTGTAGTATTTTATTATTGTTGCAATTATTAATTTAGAAGCTTATATCTTTCCTGCAGTTCTTTATATTCTCAGCTGTCAGCTTCCCCTGGAAGATTCTAGGGCTGACTGGAAGAACTATAAATAATAAGCCCGAGGGAAGATGTTGATGAGGGCCTTAGTCATTGTTTAAGTGCTTATGAACACATTTCAGACTGGAACACCTGGAAAAACAGTTGGAAGGAAAGTATTTTTGCTCAAGCATGAATGTCATCAAACATTTCAGGTTAGACAAAGGTCTCTGCTTGTATTTTTCCTCAGCGGATCTCCTCAAAACAAAGAGCTGGCTTTGTTCTGCAGAAATGTCTAATATAATCATTCAAGCAGAAATATTTTGCTTATAAAACAAATAATAAAGGTGGAAAAGCCATTCTATTAGTTTTAGCTTTTAGTTGCCCTGTCAGTTTTCAGATACATGAACATTTTACATTGTGCATTCAGGGTCAAAACCAGAGTCCTCTTTAGTCTTCTTCAGGCATTCATAATCTGTACACCATGATAATCATCCTTGTGGGAAGAGCCTCCACGAATCCAGGAGTCTTGCCACTTCACACAACTTATGGAGGGTGAGAAGGACATTTGTCCCTTTGGCCTCCCCTCACAGGAATATGGTACACAGATTACGAATGCCTGAAGAGGGCTTTTGATGCCACTCACTACAGCTGAAGAGGAATATAACAAAACAGAGGCATTGTCTCCCAATGTTTAGATATTGGCTGCTCCAGGCTGGAAAGAATATCAAGAAAGCCCATTCTATGGCCTCCTTCCACTGCCCTCTTTATTGGGGGATAGTGCTATGCAAGATGTACTTGCAGAGTATCCTGTCTAGCTTGGGGGCCAGGAGGGACACAAAGGCAGACTCTGTGGCACAGTCCTCTCTTAAGCAGTCTGTTTTTTTTCTTTATTGCCCTTATCTCCAGCTTGGCTTGCAGAGTGCTTGGATAAACAGTGCAGGGTTTCTAGCAGTCCACCCCTTCTTAACTTGGACAATGGTGCAGAATCGTAACTAACAGTGGCAGAAGAGTGGGTAGGAGGTCCCCTATTGGTGATCATCCCTGAACAGTTTTGTTTGTTTGGTGTATTTATATGTGGTCTCTCCATAACCCAGTGGCTAACATTTGAATGATTTAACAAACACACTACCAGCCAGTAGGTAGCTGAACAGCAGAAAGATCCAGTTCAGACTGTAGTGAAGCCATAGCACTATCCATCGCGCTTTAGGGGTGGTGGGGAGAAACCACATCACGATGGGATTGTGTTTGAGTCTGGCAGTCAGGGCTGCAGCTGCGATACTTTATGAGCAGACAGAGCTGCCCTATTCTAAGTCCAACCCATGGAAAAGCACAACTTATGAATTGTAGCCATGTGAATTAACTGAAGAAGCAGTAGGATTCCTAAGTATTCATTAAAGCCCTTGAAAATACACATGTGGGACAGTTCATATCACCAGTACTATGTTCATGCCACTTGCATAAACTATTATTTCATCTTTATTTATTATTGATATAACCATTAGGTGGCCTCTAGGGAAAGGATTTGGAACGTGATGTTCTGGCAGTAGCTAGAATTTCCTTGCAGTGTATTACAGAAATATGCATCCCCCCCAAACGAAAACCTTCCTAACCCCAATGTACACCTGCGCGCATGCACACACACACACACACACACACACACACACAGCACCTCATTTGACCTCCTCCTGATTCTTAAGGCAGTATTAAAGAGTGGAGTCTCTTTGTGTTGCGCTTGTGGGATCTCAGCTCTTGAGGTTTTTAAGAAGACGAACATTAAATGTATGTTTTCTGCAAATGCAATAACCAACTCCATGTGCCATTGTAGGGCTATGGGATTCTAGGAGTGGGAAGAGACAAATGAAGACATCGCTGAGCTTTTAATTAAAACGATTGGACTGCGAAGCTATATATTTTGATAAGACTTTTTTAAAAAAGCAGCTTAATTTGGCTATTGGATATGAGCTGCTGTTTTACATACTATCTTGTCTGTGTGAGCTGCTCCTGTGAGACCTTGGGTACTGCATTAATTCTCAACATTTGCATACCAAGGCTCCAACCCCCGTTCTCTCTTTTGCTCTAACTGGGAACATTAAAACGAGAGACTGATCGGCGTCATTATGCTAGCTTCAAAATGAAATTTCCAAAGCTGCTATAGAACTCCAGTCGCTACCGTCTGTCCCTGGAAAAGATAGGTGCATAATTAAGTCGGGGCTTTTTTTTGTTTTTGTTTTGCATTTTTAATTGCCTTGAAGAACTTGTCAACAGATGCATCAGTTAGGTGAGTCATGGCACATAGAATATATTTGCATAAGCCTTTGGTTAAGAGACGGGGGCTCAAATCCCAATACGTGCGCTTATGAATGTAGGAAGCTCAGCATCCTGTTCCCATAGGAGCCCCAGATACCTATGAGAAGTACAAAGCAGAACATGAGTGCAATAGCCCTCTCCTGATGCTTGGTCCCCAGCAGCATACTGCCTCTGATACTGGAGGTAAGATA